TTGAATATAGNTTTTAATGTCACTATCATCAATATTTTGTATTTGTTGTTGAATATAGGTTTTAATGTCGCTATCATCAATATTTTGTAATTGTTGTTGAATATAGGTTTTAATGTCACTATCATCAATATTTTGTATTTGTTGTTGAATATAGGTTTTAATGTCACTATCATCAATATTTTGTATTTGTTGTTGAATATAGGTTTTAATGTCACTATCATCAATAGTTTGTATTTGTTGTTGAATATAGGTTTTAATGTCGCTATCATCAATATTTTGTATTTGTTGTTGAATATAGGTTTTAATGTCACTATCATCAATATTTTGTATTTGTTGTTGAATATAGGTTTTAATTTCACTATCATCAATATTTTGTATTTGTTGTTGAATATAGGTTTTAATGTCACTATCATCAATGTTTTGTATTTGTTGTTGAATATAGGTTTTAATGTCACTATCATCAATATTTTGTATTTGTTGTTGAATATAGGTTTTAATGTCGCTATCATCAATATTTTGTATTTGTTGTTGAATATAGGTTTTAATGTCGCTATTATCAATATTTTGTATTTGTTGTTGAATATAGGTTTTAATGTCGCTATCATCAATATTTTGTAATTGTTGGTGAATATAAGTTTTAATGTCACTATCATCAATATTTTGTATTTGTTGTTGAATATAGGTTTTAATGTCGCTATTATCAATATTTTGTATTTGTTGTTGAATATAGGTTTTAATGTCACTATCATCAATAGTTTGTATTTGTTGTTGAATATAGGTTTTAATGTCACTATCATCAATGTTTTGTATTTGTTGTTGAATATAGGTTTTAATGTCACTATCATCAATATTTTGTATTTGTTGTTGAATATAGGTTTTAATGTCGCTATCATCAATATTTTGTATTTGTTGTTGAATATAGGTTTTAATGTCGCTATTATCAATATTTTGTATTTGTTGTTGAATATAGGTTTTAATGTCACTATCATCAATATTTTGTATTTGTTGTTGAATATAGGTTTTAATGTCACTATCATCAATATTTTGTATTTGTTGTTCAATATAGGTTTTAATGTCACTATCATCAATGTTTTGTATTTGTTGTTGAATATAGGTTTTAATATCACTATCATCAATATTTTGTATTTGTTGTTCAATATAGGTTTTAATGTCACTATCATCAATATTTTGTATTTGTTGTTGAATATAGGTTTTAATGTCGCTATTATCAATATTTTGTATTTGTTGTTGAATATAGGTTTTAATGTCACTATCATCAATATTTTGTATTTGTTGTTCAATATAGGTTTTAATGTCACTATCATCAATGTTTTGTATTTGTTGTTGAATATAGGTTTTAATGTCACTATCATCAATATTTTTATTTGTGTCAA